TGACGGTGCGCGCCTCTGTCCTCCCGAGGTCGACAGACGGCTCCTGGCCCTCAGCTCTGCCCTGGGCCTTGTGGTCCCTGTTGGGCAGGACTTCGGGCCGCAGCCAGGTCAGGTGCTGCCCCAGCCGGGTGGCAGCGGCAGGCCGTGGTGCTGCACGGGTGTTTTTAAGCTTCTTCCTATTCTGGCTACATGGTCCTGGGGCTGTGCGGTCCCCAGACCTGGGGATGGCCTCCGTGCTGACTCCTGCGGTCGGGAGAGGCCAGCACCAGGCTCCCCACGGAGCTGCGGGCTCAGCACGGCACCGGCCTGCTGGGAGGATGCTGGCGGGTGGATCTGGAGAGCGGGGCCTCTGCGTGGGCAGGCGTGTTGGAGGAGGGAGAGGCTGCGGCCACCCTGCCGGGGGCCCAGCAGTGACGGGGGGCCAGAAGTAGGCAAGTGCCAGGCATTTATTCCTGGAGTGCACAGTGGCAGAGGGGCCCTGCCCCTCCTCTGCCACCCTTGCTGCTTCTCAGACGGCTCTCGGGCTTTGATTTTTGCCTGTAAATAACAGCAGATCTTAAGGTCGGTGGTGTCTGAGAGCTGGCACAACGGGACACAGCCAGGCAAAGGAGACAGGAGACCCACTGGCCTGAGCTCGAGTTTGCAATGAGACATGACCCCTGAGACAGGGAGGCCGTGTGTGTTCACACACCCAGAAAAACCTGTTAGGACCAGCGGGAAAATCTGACAAAACCCCGTTCTGTCTGGCTTGACTACATGCCTCTCAGAATCTGCTCGTTGACGCAGACTAAAGTATTCTTCGATGATCTGGAAACCCCTGGGAAGCTGCCCCATGGAGACGGCTCTCCCAGGGGCCACGTGATGGCCTCGGATATCCCCGGTCCACAGTCCAAATCCTGACGGGCCGAGGCCCCGACGTCGTCTGCGGTCACACCGACCTAGTCATAACGCAGGCACAGCCGCGCCTCTGGGGACGAGGACGACCGCCGTGTGGGGTGCGGAGGGACGACTGTTGTGCTGGGATTAGGGGAGGCTTGTGATTTCCTCCAAAGGCCCCTAAGCTGCTGCTACCTGAGCCGGTGTTGCATAAGGAGGCCGGGCAGGGTGCCGAGGGAGGATGCGGAGGGGTGCTCCCAGGCGGGAGGAAGCCCCAGCTGGGCTGTGGGGTGCTGGTCTCAGCCCAGGGAGTGTGGAGTGGGGGGAGGAGCAACATGGCTGGGGGGTGGGCACTCTCGGGAGAGCTGTTTTCCTGTGAGCAGGAGGATGGACCCGCCTGGGGTCGTCTGGATTCAGGGTTGTGGACCCAGAGGGCTCTGAGGAAGGGTTTGGGGTCTGTGGCCCCACAGTGCCCCAAGGACATCTGCCAGGACCTGGCCGTGTGGAGCAGAGGTGACAGGGCTGCGGGGCGCTGTGTCTGGCCCCTGACAGACCCCACTGACTGGTGACAGCCCTCACGTGGGGTGCTGTGCCCCGGTGCCCACTCGCCGGGCTGTGCTCACCTGGTGTGGCACGTCAGCCCCCTGGCGACGGCCCCTCCAGGTTCAGGTCCCGCCCTGCTGCCTCTGGGCGTCTGGGACCCGAGAAGGCCCCTGCCCTCTGCCTGGGTCCCTTGGGGTGTTGCTGAATGTCTGGAACCCTGAGCTGCCTGGTGGTAGCTGGGCCCCTTGCAGGTGACCCACAGGAACTGGAAAGAGAACCCCTCGCTTGAGGAGCCAGCCAGGGCCGCCCAGAGCAAAGAGTCACCCCGCAGTGCCACTCTGGCCGGGAGGGCTGTGGGCTCTTGGGCTGGAGCAGGGGCTCGAGTCGCCCGTGTTGGGGCATGGGGGGCAGCAGGCCCACGGGAGGCTGTCCTGGGAGGACCCTCTTGACACCTGGGCCCTGGGCATGGTCCCTCCTGGTGCAGCGCCCAGACCTGAGCCCACCTGGTCACTTTTCCTCGGGGGCCCGCGAGTGCGAAGCCGAGGCCCTGGGATGGCCCCCTCCTCACTCTGGCAGGCGGTCGGAGGCCCCCACCATCTCGGCCCATTCCCCCCCAACCCGGGCAGAAGCAGGTCCCTGGCGGTGGTGCCCCCAGGACTGCCCCGGACCTCAGGGGTCCAGGGAGGAGAGGCTGGGGCAGGTCCCGGCACAGGCTCAGGGCCTGGGAGGCCCCACCACGGTGGGCCTGAGGCTCAGGCAGCCTCACACTCGTGGTGGGCTCAGTCCCACCACACCCCACTCCTCCAGGAGTGCCAGCCCCTCCAGCAAGCACCAGCCGAGCCTTCCCAGCTACCCCGCTGGGCAAACAGTCGCTGTGAAGTTTTAGAACAGCACCGGTGTGGCAGGCCAGGGGGAGCTTCCTGGTTGTGCCTGGATGTGGTCTGGGCACGGGCCAGAGCCCAGACACCCTCGCTGGCCCTGACTTGCCCACACCTGCCAGGCGGGAGGCCCTGTCCATACTGGCCCTGTGCCAGCAGGTGTGCAAACAGGCATTCTCTGGGGGTCCCCGGGAAGTCAGGTGACGTCCCCTTTGTTCTGGGCAGAGTGCACAGCACCTGGAGCCACCTCTGGGTTCCGTAGCTATGGGGCCCTCGGGACAGCGAGGGAGATGGGAGTGCAGGTGGCCAGAGGTGTTGAGGTGACCGGTGGAAGGGGTGGAACCTGCTCTGCTCGGTGGAGAGAGTTCACCCCTCGACTCCAGAAAGCAGAGACCAGGGAGCCGGGCACCCTCCGGGCACAGGCCGTGGGACTGTGGCCTCGGGCCTCCTGCCATCCCTGCTGAGCCCTGGGCTAGTGAGGGATGGGCTGGAAGGAGGCTCCGGACTAGAGCCCCTCCTGCCACGGGTCCTGCCAGCCCCTGCCCACGGTCACGCACCGTCCTGCTCAGGGACAGAAAGCTTTTCCTTCCTGAGCCCCAGACCTGGGCTCTGAAACCTCGAGGCTGAGGACTGACCCTGCGTCTGCCCTGCCCCTGCCGCCCCCGCCCCGAGGCGGCGCTGGCAAAGGAAGCGTGTGTGTTGCCACCGCCGGCTGCTCTCCCTCCACCATCTTGGGTGTGGCTGAGACCGTCCCTCCCCATGGGACCCCAGGCCACGCGCCCGGGCACGTGGTGACCCACAGGAGGAGGGAGCGGAGGCAGAGCCCCAGGCAGGTGCGACTGCCACGTACAGGAAGCAGCGGTGGGCTGGCAGGGTGGGGGCGGCCGTGGGGACCTCCAGCGGCCCCGAGATACTGCGTCTGTTCCGACAACATCCTGTGCATTTTATTGGTGTTGCCAAGTCACCATCTACCTGGGGCCCAGCAGACCCTCTCTCTCAATGGGGCTCTGGGACCCTCACAGGTGGCCGCCTCCGTCTGGCCAGCCGGGCCTCTGTCCCCCATCCCACCTGGGCTGGGGCCCCTGCCCCTTGCACACAGCATGGCAGGTTCTGCCCAGTGGGCAAAGGTGGCTGGTGGCGGGGCCCTGCCTGCTCTTCTTGCTCAGGCCACAGAGTCACTGGGGACTGGGGAGCCGGGGACCCTACCTGGGAGGGAGGTGCCAGGTTCTGGCCTCAGTGACTCTGGGGCACAGATACACGAGGCGTGATCGTCTTGTTTCTGGGCCCAGCCTGTGGAGTCGTGGGCAGACTGGGTGGGAAAGCAGGGGAGGGTCTCCCCTAAAGGTGGAACCGGCCCCCCCAGTTTCTCTGGATAGTGGAATGTGGAGGGTGGAAGCATCTCGTGGAGCAGTGAGGCCCCGGCGGCCCATCCGCCTGCGTTGGCACCAGGAGAGCTGCTCTGCCGCCCCAGCACTCAGGCCCGGGGGCTGCAGAGGGGTCTGCACTGAGCTCAGAAGGCAGTGCCCGGCCAGGGTGCAAGTGGAGTGAACGGGGCAGGGAGGTGGTGGGTGCTCTTGGCGAGCGGGGCAGTAGCCACAGTGAGCCGGGAGGGAGGGGGCTGTGGGCACCCTACAGGGAGGGTCTCCGGGAGCCCATGTGCACGCTGCTCTCTGGGTGGCGGGAAGCCCGGGGGCTCTCTCCTCCAAGCCCCTCGGCCCATCTTAAGTGGCCACAGTGGGGCACATGCCCGCCCCTACACCATGCACTGGCTGGGGTGTAGGCTGCCACAGGCTTGGCCCATCTGGGACTCGGGGCTCTGTTGGCCCGGACGGAGGGGGTGTTGAGGGAAGACAGCGTCCGGCAGGGCTGGCCGAAACACGCAGGCAAGGGTGTCTGGCTGCACCGACATCCACAGGCACGCGAGGAGGAAGGCCGCGGATGCCAGGGCTGGCCGGCGGGGGCGCGGGGCCCCGAGGATTTGGGGCCGGTTGTTCTGTGGTATTTGTCTTTCTCTGCTTGGCTTGCAAGAAACCTTCCTCTGCGTGGACTTAACACTTGGTCAAAATGTTGCACACGTTTCCCTGGTTTGTTGTTTGCCTCAGAATTATGTCTGTTTCCTGAAGAAAGAAATGAACTTTGACGCAGTAAAATCTGAGTCAATATTTGTATTCATTTTCTACTTCAGTGTCCTCTTTTGAAAGTTTTTCCCAGCTCAAGGTTTGGAAGTGGCCAGAGTTTCACCTCCTGCAAAGCCGGCTCCAGAGGAGGAGGAGGAACCTCTGGAATTTGATGCCGTGTTTCCCACATTCATCCTCAGAACCCTCGGCCCAGCCGGCCTTCATCTCTCACACGAACCAAGGCGAGGATATTCGTTCATGTCCTGGGTTCTGGGCCCCCCAGGCCTGTCCTGCCTGGGGCCGGCGCTGACCTCTGCGGATGGGTGGGTGAGCGTCCGTCCACCCGGCCTGGCCGTCAGCTGCCAGCGCCCCACCTGGCCGGACCAGGGCATGAGCCCTGGGCGGGTTCTGCCCAGGACAGTGGGCCAGCCCTCAGGGAGAGGCCAGGGCAGAGGGTGTGGCCTCCCGTCTGAGCCAGCAGGTGAGCGCTGAGGGATTCTAGTTTTCTTCACTACAGCTGTGCCACCTGGAGCCGCAGGGCCGAGGTGGTGGGACCTTGGGGCGCTGGAGCTTGGGCCTTGCCCGGATGGAGGTCAGGATGCTGTCCGCGCTGGGCAACTCGCAGAGGTAAGGCAGAGGGCAGCGGCTGGGCCCTTGCAGGTGGACGGAGGCGCGGTAAGGCTTGGATGATCCTACAGGCTGACAGACATGAGTTGTGTTCATCTTTAAAAGGAAGTTGCTTGGGAGTGGGGGATATTCTCACTTATACATCCCCAGATTCAGCCTCCTCTGGCTTTGTTCCAGACAGTGTAGTAAGTCTCCTGATCCTGCCCAGCCTGGGCTGGTTCTGGATTTGGGGGGAAGTGGGGCCTGGTGAGAAAGCTGCACCCCCAGCACCAAGGCGGGGGGGCCTCTTGGGCGTCTGGGCTGACTGCCTGGGCGGGGTCCGGGACCTCCGGGGCTCACCTTCCCACGGCCCCCCAGTGTTTGCGGGAGTGCGCGGGAGCGTGAGCCCCTAGCACTTGTCAGGGCCGCTAGCGTGTGCACTGGAATCATGCTCTCGCGGCGGGGGCTGCGCAAGCTGAAGCAAGACCCTCCGCGGGTCGGGCGCCTGTCCCTGCCTGCCATGGACCGTGCGCGGTGCGAGGCTGAACCCTGGCGTGCTGTTTTCCCTTCCGCAAGCAGAGGGGAGTTTAGGTTTGGAGGGAGGCGGGTGTGGCCAAGAAATGCTTTGTGCTCCCCCCGGCCCCTGCTCACCCCTAGTTTGCACTTTACCCCACTTCCCAGTTTGGGAGATCCTGGTGCAGTTTGGACCAGGGCCCTGAGTGCTCCCCAAAGCCCTCTGCCTCCCCCGTGGCCCACAGTTGCCAACATCATCAACTCTTCTAAGGCGTGACTCAGGCCAGCCGCCAGGGCTGCTGGCTGACGGGACCTCCATCATGTGGCCAAGAGGCAGGAGGGTCAGCCTTGAAGCCCGGACCATGCTGGGGACCCCCTCTGGTGGACGTCGTCTCCACGTCGTGAAGAAGGGGTGTGGAGGCTGTAGGTCAGCTGGCCCCATTAGCTGGGGCCGAGTCCCCTGGCCCCTGGGGCCCCTGAGGTGGTTGGCAGTGGGCAGCCAGGGCACACCCACGCGGACCCCTGCCCAACCTCTGTGGGCACAGCCTGAGTGGGCATTGTGGCCCAGGGGCCTGGGGTGGCCCAGGGCACGGCTCCTCAGCCCCTTGTCTCCTTGCTTGGCAGGATGGTTTCCCGCCACCGCCACGCAGGCTGAACTTTCTGACACAAAGGCCGGGCAGGTGGCAGTGGCCCTGAGTGTCTCAGGCTCCTCTGAGCACATGGTTGCAGCGCAAAGCCCCCTAGAGAGAGGGCCCGAGTCTCCCCAACAGCCCTGACCTCCCCTGGCATCTTGTTTATTTTCCCAGAACTGTGCAAGCCTTGGAGGCTCACACTCTTGGCCTGGCTGTAGCCCATGGATGGGTAGCGGGAGTGGACAGCGGGACAGAGGGTTAGTGGTGCAGCCTGGCGGTCCTGCCCAGCGGCCTGGGTGGTCAGAGGAGCTGCCTGGAGCAGAGATCAGAGTCTCTGCGCACCTGAGTGGGGCCCAGGCCTGGCCTCCAGCACAGGGAGCCCTGCCTGCTGGGCAAGGAGACCTGGACGCCTCCCCGGGAGTCTCAGTGGCAAAGCGCTCACTCGGGTCATGCCCAGAGAGGTCTCCTGGCTTGTGATGATTAAAGCACAAACTTCTCAGCTACTGCAAGGTTTGGGGTGACCCTTGACTTGGGGGCATTCCCTTGGGGGATTCTTGCGTGAGAAGACATGGTGTGGAGCTCATGGGAGGCCACGTGCCCTCTGAGTGCCCAGCCCTGTGGTCGGCTGACCAGAGAGAGAAGCTCAGGGAGACCTTCCTGCTGTCAGGGGTGTCAGCCGGGCCCCTCTTTGCAGCATGTGTTGTTTGGGGGTGTCTCATGCAGTTCTCTGAGACAGTGCTGTCCACTCCTCCTCAGCCACTGGCTGGCAGTGCGGGCTCCGGCCCGGGAGGCCCTGGTGGTCTCCGTGGTGCTGGTGGGGCCGCCATGGCCAGAGGCTGCAGGCTGTGTCTACAGGTCTTTCTGCTGACCTAGGACTGCAGCCCGTCCCAGGCAGGGGCCAGGGTGGGAGGAGGGTGTCAACTCAGGGCTGGGTGGGCAGAAGTCCAAGCAGCTGCCAGGGTGTGCAGGCCGTGCTCTTCCTGGGCACATGTCTCCGACGGGGGTTTGCCTGGGGCTGCTCAGAGCCTTGGGGACTTCTGGGAAGTCTAACTCAGAAGTGCTGTGCATGTTTCCTGTTTCTCAAGCTCCGAGGAGCAGCCTCCGCTGAGGAAGGAGGTGCCAGGACGGCGCTTGGCCACAGTGAGGGGGCAGCCCTCTCCTTCGGCCTCTGTGTGACCACCGGTCCCCCGAGCTACACCGGGGTCTGGGCAGGGCTGCGGCCCCCGCCTTCACGGCTGTCCAAGTAGAAGCTGGGTGGGGCTGGTGGTGGCTGGCGTGCAAGGCTGCCATCTGGGGGTCTGGGTGAGGGGCAGAAATGGGAGCTGAAGCTGCCATCTCTCCCAGGGGCTCCCCAGGCTCCGTGGTAGCCCTGAACTGTGAGACAGCTGCCTTGGCCAGTCTGGCCAACTGCGCCTTCTCGGGTGGCTGAGGCAGCTGGTGCACTGGAAGTCCCACACCAGCTGCTCTCTGTCCCCAGCCCCTCACCCTGTTGTGGCGGACAGGTCTGGGTTCTGGGAGTGGGACAGCTCCACGTGGGGGACCCGGAGTGAGAGGAGGGTGGGGGCTGGGAGGGGTGGCTCTGACACCCAGGCTGCTGGGCACAGGCCTGGGGTGCGGCCTCCCTCTGGGGACACTGGCCTGGAGGTGTCTGGGGTGGAGGACGGCACCTGCCTGGGAAGCTCAGGGGTGTGTAGCAGGTGCACCGGCCACACGATGGGCTGGGATTGTGTCCTTGGTAAGAGGATGCAACAGCACCATTGGCCACTCAGTGTTCATCCCGAATTCACCAGGCCGTGGAGTTGGGTGGCCGCCATGCCAGTTAATTGGCTTATCTGCAGGGAAGGCAGGTTTCTCGTCTTTGCAAGAGGAGGTGGGTTTGCAGCTGGGAGCCAGGTGCCTGTGACGTTGGACTCCCACCCTCCAGGGACACAGGAGGGACAGGGCGGCCCCAGGTCCTGGCTGTGGTGCTGGCAGGAATCTCTTTCAGCTTTTAACAGGTTTATGTCCATCTCAAGGGGTGAGAAAGAATTCACACTCTCATGGGTTTTTTTTGTCAATACTCAAAGAAAAGGCCTGGAGTGAGAATTCCTTTCTCTTTCTGGACTAGGGAATTAATATTTATTTAAAACGTTTAAAAATTTGTGTTTGTCCTTAGATGAGAGCAAGCGGGCTGGGGCCAGAGGCGGGTGGGCGGGTGCGAGGGGCTCTGGGTTCTGGCTGCTCTGTTTTCCCGCTCCTCAGAATGGGGTGCAAGGTGGGGTGGGCCGCGGTATGGCTGGGGCAGGGCGAGGCACTGTCCTCAGTCTCGGCTTTGGGGGGCCCAGGAGCCCTACTCAGAGTCACTTCTAGTAGACTGGGTCCTGGTGGCCCCCAGAGGGGCCAGCGCAGGCCCTGGGGATGCGGGGCACGGCCAAGCGGGGAGCGATGTGTCCAGCCAGCTGGGCGGGGCTGCAGAGGGAAGGCAGGAAGAGTGGGGGACACAGGGGCCTTCATGGCCCTGCCAGACTCTCTCAGTGGATGAAGGGGTCCCTTGGCCAAAGCGCCAGGCAGGGCCACAGCTTTGTACTGGAGACAGGCTCACAAAACAGTGCTCGGCTTTGTCAAAGGCGGTGTGCTCAGATACTTTCTAGTCACTCTGTGTCTGTGTACTTGGTTCTGTATTCATTTTCTGCTGTTCTTACTCTGTGAAATGTTGGAAGATAAGAGACATAAAACGTTCCAGGAGTTTTGCAGGGCTTTGCCTTGAAGGAATCTGTGAGTGTGTTAGTTCACAGACCAGAAGCTGCTTAGCAACAGGGGGGCATCTCACCGGTCAGGGGCAAATGCAAGACGACGCCTGTCTCAAGACCTGGAGGCTTGCACCTGATGCTTGTGTAAGACAGAGCTCGGCATGGGGTCACAGGTTAAGGACTGATCCAAGAATGCCAGACCTGCACACACCTGAAGCTAAAGCCAGTTAGCCTTAAGGACAGTTCCTGCTTCCTTCCTGACCACTTATCTCAGTTAATAGAAAACTAGATAAAGAACTATATGGGCCGGGCGCGGTGGCTCACGCCTGTAATCCTAGCTCTCTAGGAGGCCGAGGCGGGCGGATTGTTTGAGCTCAGGAGTTCGAAACCAGCCTGAGCAAGAACGAGACCCTGTCTCTACTAAAAATGGAAATAAATTAATTGGACAACTAAAACTATATAGAAAAAACTAGCCGGGCATGGTGGCGCATGCCTGTAGTCCCAGCTACTTGGAAGGCTGAGGCAGGAGGATCGCTTGAGCCCGGGAGTTTGAGGTTGCTGTGAGCTAGGATGACGCCACAGCACTCTAGCCCAGGCAACACAGTAAGACTCTGTCTCAAAAAAAAAAAAAAAAGAAAGAAATATATGATCTTGCCTGGTCCAAAGGTTGTGAGTTATCTCACTTGATTGTTCACAGTCAGTTACAGATTGAACTCCTTGTTCTACTACTTAATCCCCCTCCAAAAAAAAAAAGAAATATATGATCTCTATATTTCTGTTTAGCTTTTCTGCTAATTGACAGTTTTAGGGCTTAGAAGTTTATCTTAGAAAAATTTTGTAACTGTTAGCTCACGTAGATAGAGTTAATTAAGGGATCTCTAGAAACTTTTGGGGAGCCTTAAAACCTTAAAACGAATTATCTGTACACATAAATCTGTAACCACTGGCAACTAATTGCTGCAATAGTAAATACTGATGCGGGACTTCACTCATGACGTCACAGCTCATGGGAATGCTGGAGGACCCCTGACTCCCCCATCACTTTAAACTACACTGTGTTTCTGTCTTGGTTATTTCTCTGCCTCTGTTATTTCTCTATTTCTATTATTTCCAAATCTCTCGTGATGATCCTGCCTGGGACCTGTTTTGCTGGGAGCGTAGCTAACTCCTGGCAGTGAAAGTGGTGGTTGCACCCCCACCGTGGATGGTGCGACCTGCTGCATTGACCTCACGGCACATGGGTGCAGACCATGGCAGAAAAGACGCCACACTAGGCATTGAGCATGAAGCAGTGGTGTTTGGGGAGAAGCGGGGGTTCCTGGGGGGGCAGTGGGGACACAGCCACTTCGGGCTCTGCACAAGTCATTCGTCTGCACATAGGCCCCGACACAGTGCCGGAAGCTGGTACTCCAGGGCTCAGCCATCAGCGGGGTGGCCCCTCTGTGGCTGCACCGGGCACATCTTGAGGCGGCTCTGATGGGGGTGTCAGCCCCATGGCCTCACTTGTCACTGGCTCCCTGCACGGGGCTTTTATCTCCTTTGGGGTAGAACTGCTTCCTCGGGTGGCCCGAGGCCACCAGCTCTTCAGGGCAACCCTGGAAATGGCACAGCTTTGCTCCGGCCGCCCTGTGGTCAAAGCGTCCCAGGCCAGCCCGATCCAAGAGCAGGGAGATGAGCCTGCATTCAAGGGGTGTCTGTGTCCCGGCTTCCCCTGGGCGATGAGCCGACAGCAGGGACACCGTGACTTTTCCAGAAGAAAGCCTCTGGGTGCAGGGTGGCACACACGCGCTTTCTGCTGTTATTTGGGAGGTGTTGAGTTTGGATGTCATGTCTGGTTCTCCAGTTTGGCCTTTGCGCTGTGGTCTGTGCTCTGGGCTCTCGGTCCCCGGGTCTTCAGTGTTGGGAGCTGCCCCTGCCCCGTAGGCAGCCCTGGGGCCTGGTGGCCGCCACTTGCTGCTGGCCCTCGAGTTACCGAGCTGGAGTGCTGCTTCCCTGAGCTGGAGACGGAAGGTCTTAAGACTGTTTATTATCCATAATTTTAGATCTTTTATTGGTTCTTACCCAGAAACCCAGGAATTCTCCCCAAATGCCCGGGAACTACCCACCTGCAGGTCCCCAGGGCCTCAGCCTTGCGCATCCCCCAGTGGCCCATTCTGGAACTGGGCCAACACCACGTCCAGCGTTGTCTCTCGGTCCAGTCAGCTCTTTCTCTCGAGAGCCGCAGAGGTCTGCGGTGCCTTGCCGGGGCCCCTGGCAGCCCAGCCTGGCCCAGAGCAATCGGCGCCCAGTGCCCGACCGGAGCCTCGTGGGAGCCTTCAAGCCCTGAGGCTGTCCAGACCCCAGGAGACTCTGGCCAACCCCAGAGAAAGGTTGCAGCGCCTGGCTGCCAGCTCTGAGCTCCACAGACAAACTTTAGCTATAGAGGGAGCGTCCTGGGATTTTAGGAAGCCCCTAAAAGCTAAACGCATTCAGATGCAACGTTACATGCTTTATAATTTTTAGCAATATTTCATTTTTCCCCTATAATCATTGGCCTTCAAATTTTATTTAGCAGCTGAACTCTTTAAAACCTAAATTTATGTTTTTTTTTAAATAGCCTTATTGAGATGTAATTCACATACCAAAGATTTCACCCATTTAAATCGCAGGATTCAGTGGTTTTTAGTGGGTCCGTGGTTGTGCAGCCGTGGGCTCTCCTTGGAGAATGAGCGTCTGTGTGTCTCTCGTGTGAGGACGGACACAGGCCCGAGAGGGGCTCTCGCACCCCGCCCTCTGCTCGGTGGAGCACATCACCGTCCGCAGCCCTGGAATGGACTTCCTGCCACGGCCCAGTTGGCGGCCATGGCATTGGCTGGGCTGCCCTCCCTGCGCCTAGGGTGGCCGCCTTCCCTGGTGCTCCCACACTGACCCCTACCTGACCCCCGACCCTGGCCCTGGCCCTGCAGGCGCTGCTGGGAAGGGGAGCCTGTCTCCAGACACACGGGACCTCTGAGACTCGCTCAGCTGCAGTGAGTGGAGACAAACTCACGTTGCTTCAGGGAGGCTGTTGTGGAGTAAACGCAGAGCTGCGGCAGCTGGCCAGCGTGCGCCAGAGTTTTATTAGGGTCTGCGAGGAACCATGAAAGTGCAGCGTTTGGGGAAGGGAGTTAAGGTGATGGAACAAAGTGGTGGCTGAGCCTATGGAGAGCCCGGCCTCGGGGAGTGCCACGGGCCTCATCGGGTGGAGTGAAATGCTAACCGTGGGGCTGTAAAACCCCGTCCCCACCTAGGTGGGAGGGGATGACAAACCGCTTTCCGGGAGGGTGTCCTGACCTCAGCGTGCCCAGCAGAGAGCACGACGACTCTGCGGGGCCTCTTCTGGAGTTTGGGAAAACGTGTCCGTTCTCACGTGTCCGTTCTCACTCGGAGGCGGGTACCTCCCACCCATAAGGACCTGACCGATCCTGCCTGGGGCGCCGCCCGCCCTGTGCTGCCCTCCCACTCTTCCCCCGCCCCAGGGCCTGGCTGATTCCAGGCCTGGGCAGGGAAGCGCAAGAGGAGCACCCTGGGGACAAATGCCATGGGCAGGAGCCCTCCCGCGCCACCTCCCAGCTGACGAGCTGTCAAATTTCAGGGCCCCGCACAGTCGTGAGAACAGAGTTGTGGCCCGTTCCTGTGGCGGGCCGGCTTCCATGGAAGACAGATTTGTGTCACCCAAAGTTGATCATTTCGCTGTTGTGGGTGGTACCAGGCGTCCCCGTGTCCCTCCATCCCGAGGTTCTCTCTGGCACGGCCGAGGGGAGCAGGGGCGCTCCGGTCTTGTCTGAAGGGGAGGTGGGACGGGGGGCGAGTGAGGCCGGGAAACCGTGCGCCCTGAACCAGTGACTGGGAGCGAGGGGCCGGGGCCACAGGCCAGTCCTCGTGCGGGCTGGGCTGTTGGCAGCCCTTGGCTGGCCACGTGTGGGGTGCGGGACAGTGGGGGGCGGAGGCCTGGGTCTACCTGGTTCGCTGTCAGAGGCAGCGGGGTGGAGGGTGGGCCGCGGCGCTCCAGTGGGGATGTGTTATGGCAGACCGGGAATAGACTGACACGCACACACAAATATTGGCAAAAAACAGGTTTATATGCCAGCGGGCTCAGATGGGGATTTTTCCCTCCAAAATTCTGAGCACCAGACAAAGAGCATTGCAGTCTTTTATACACTCTGCTTAAGGTGGGGGCATGGTTACAACAGGGTTAACTTCAGTGAGGCAGAGTCCTAAGTTACTTTACAGCCTGGTACGCTAATTGCTACAGGTGATTTGTGAGGGGAAAGGTCGCGGGGGAGGAGGGGCCTCAGGTAAAGAATGTAAAGGACAAAGCCCGGTAGTGGAATTTTCCACTTTAGTGGAATTTTCCAATTTTCCACTTCAGATGGACTGTGGCTGGGGGGCGGTGAGCGTGTCTGTCGCCCACCTGCACCCGCCCGGCTGTCATCTCAACCGTGTAGCCACGTCTTTGCCGTGGAGAAACCTTACATTTTTGCCAGATTTACCTTTTTTTGTTTTTAACACCTTCTGATTCGTGTCTTGCTCAAACCCACAAGCTCAGTCCCGTCCTTCCCTCGACTGCTTCGTTGGCTTCGCTTTTCACACGTAAACCTTTGGCCCAAATGGAATTTACCCTGATCTCTGGGGTGAGCTGCAAACCGAGTCCCGTGGGGAGCTCGCCAGGCGCACGGTCGCTGTCTGCTGCCCCCGTCCCCTCCCCTGGAGCCGCGTCTCCCACTCGCGCCCGGCAGCTCAGCGACCGACCGTGGCTTTCCGCCCGTTCTCGTGTCCGGGGGACCTGGCGTTCCTTATTGCTACTGTTCAGCATTGTCCCAGCTGTCATGGTATGTGTTTCATCCATTTTAATTTTAGAATTTACTTCTTAGTTAAAAATTCTCTTTGGGGGGATTATATTAAATTTCGAGATTGTTTTATGCAAAAATCATCTCCTTTCCCCAAAGCAGAGGAGTGTGGGCAGCAGGGACCTGCTGCCTGCAGCAATTGCTAGGACGCGGCCCGGGGTGGGTCCGAGGCTGAGGTGGGTTGGGGCAGGGCCCCTCTGGCCTTCCTCCCGCCCCTGTGGCCAGCGCCAGGACGGTCCTCCCCGCGTTGAGCAGCAGGGCCCACACTGGCTGGTTCCAGCTGCCGGGAGGGCCACCAGGCCCAAGTCTGCTCTCCCTGCTGTCCTGGCACCTCATCCCCTTTGCCCCTCCTCCCACAGGCCCCTGCTTCACCTTGGTGGCGATCCCTCCTTCCTCACCTGCTTGTCGCACTCTTATGGACCCTGTAAAGCCCTGTGTAAAAGCCCCAGTCCAAGCAGGAAGCTCACCCTTGTGTCCTCTCCAGGTGCTAAGCTCTTTTGAGTCCAGATCTGGCGTCCAGTTCTCTGCAGCCTGCGCTTGGCCTCCTGCACGGAGAGGCCACGGCCCACGTGGCTCTCCCCACCCCTTCCTCGAGGGATCCCTCTGTTGCTCTCCGCTGATGGGGAGCCTTGCCCATGGGGTGAGAGGACCTGGGGCTCCCTGCCCAGGGACCACAGCCTGTGCCCACCTGCCGTCCTCAGGCCCAGGCCAGGCCTTCCAAAGGCCCTCTTGTGGGGCCCTGTCCCCTCTCCCGGGGGTATGGCAGCATGCCCCACCTCTGTTGGGAGACGTCATACTTGTCCCCATCGTAGCCCAGGCTGCCACGAGATGCCATAGACAGGGGGGCTTGACCCACAGGCATTTCCTGGTTCTGAGGCTGCCAGCCCAAGATCGTGGTGCCACGTCAGTCCTGGAGGGGACTTCCTTCCTGGCTCAGGCGCTGTGCTCTCTGTGTGTCCTCATGGGCTGGGGGTGCTCACGTCGGGACCTCTTCTGACCCTAATCACCTCCCAAAGGCCCAGATCACCGCCAGATACAGCAGGGTTTCAACGTATGGGCTTTTGGGGGACAGTTCAGTCCACAGCACCCAGCTCTCAGCCTCTCACCCCTGGAGGTGCCAAGCTTGGGGGTCTCTGTCTTGCCACAGTCAGTCCATGGAAGGGGACGGGGCAGCCACGTGGGGGTGGCTGGGGTGGAGCCCCCACCCCACGGGCGGGTGCCCGGCAAATGTTCACACGGGTTGTTACAGAGGTTACGGGAGGCCCATGGATCTGGTTTTGACTCCAGGGCAGGGGAGGTGGCGGGCAGGGCGGGGGCTGGTGTGGCCCTGGACTGGGGCACTGACGGGGTCACCCTCCCCACAGGTGCTTCCGGGCCGTCCTCCTCCTCCTGGCCCTGACTGTGCTCCTGTTGGCCGGCTTCCTGCACACGCACGTCCAGCTGCTCACGCCGTAAGTGCTTCCTTGGGCGCCTCACAGCACTGGGGGGCATGGCCGGGGCTCCAGGGGAACCTCTGGGAGGCCTCCTGGCTCCTCCTGACAGAGGTGGCCTGGTCAGCCTGGGCCAGGCCAGGGTGCAGTCTGGGAGGACGAGGGCCAGACCTGTCGCAGTCCCTGCTCACCTCCCAGCCACTGTAGCCAGGCTGCTGGGAAGGTCTTGAAACCCCGGGCCACCCCCTTGCCCCATGGCCCTCCGGTTGGATCTCCACAGGAGGGAGGGCCTCCGATACCCCCTGGACCAAGCTGTGGCAGGTGGGTCCCAGGATAGTGTCTGTGCCCACGCCCCCTGCCCCAGGGCTGGCGCAGGCCCCTGGACCCTGTCCCCCCATCCCGGTCATGCTTGCTAGCCTTGCCCTGCTGCTCCAGGCCCCTGTGGTGGGTGCCGTGACGGGGTCACAGGAGGAGCCCTAGAGTCTGCTCTGGCCACACGTCAGGCCAGCCGGTCTCAGCTTTGGGGGCTCTTCCTTTTCCTGGGATGAAGGGTCAGCCAAGAATGCTGCACACGTGACCGAGGGCATGTGCTGGGGCCAGGCGGGTGCCCTGGGAGCCAGAGAGAAGGCTGGGGTCCCCAGGGGGTTCCTGGGCCCTGGGGGCTGAGCCAGTGGCACGTGGTGGGAACAGCCGAACCTGCGGCCTCAAGGCCACATGTGGCCTCCAGATCCCTAAGCGTGGCCTCTCGACTGAATTCAAACTTCACAGTACAAATCCCTTTATTAAAAGGACCCGGGGGCGGGGCACAGTGATGGGCTGGGGGCAGGGGCTGGGGCAGCATGGCGATGGGGGCAGTTTGGGGTCTCCGTGGGGGTTGCTGTGTTGAGGTCATGATGTTGGGGTACAGGGTGCTTGCCCAGTGGGCTGCCCAACCTAGAGCCAGGGGTGCCAGTTGGGGGTCTTGCTGGGCTTGCTGGGCTGGAGGTCCCGCTGTCGAGGCTTGGCCCGGGGCACGGGCGCCACCCACCCACCGATGGCTCCTGTGCCCACCCTCCCAGGCTGTTCAGGGGCCGGGCCAAGGGGCTGCCCGTCACCAACATCATGTTCCTCAAGACGCACAAGACAGCCAGCAGCACCGTGCTCAACATCCTCTACCGCTTCGCCGAGACCCACAACCTGTCTGCGGCACTGCCCACCGGCTCCAGCTTCCACCTGGGCTACCCCTGGCTCTTCCTGGCACGCTACGTGGAGGGTGCGAGTCAGAACAGCATTGGCCCTCCGCGGCGCTTCAACATCATGTGCAACCACCTGAGGTTCAACCTGCCTGAGGTGCGCCGGCCCCTGAGGGTTGGAGGCCTGTGATGCACGTGGCTTTGACCTGTGCCGGGGGTCGAGGGTGGTTGTAGCCTGGAGGCTCGAGGCGGGATCCAAGGCTGTGGAGGCGGGGCGAGGGGAGCCTCTTGAGGGGCTGGGGAGGGCAGCTCTGGTGTGCAGCCGGGAGGCGCAGGAGGAGGGGGCAGGCAGGTGGGGAGGCTGCCTGCTGCTCTCTCCTGGACACTCTGCTCCAGCGGAGTAGGACCTCCAGCGGGGCAATGGTGACAAATGGGACCTCCATGGGGGCACAGCAGGAGGTGAACCCAGACCCACCCTGCGAAAACCTCGGCCGGGCTCCTCGGGGTCTGGGATTCCTCCTCTGTAAAAGGGTGTGCGCTCGAGGCCCGCAGTCCCATGGAACCCGGCGGCCCTCCCCGAGGCTGGCCGGGCCCCACACCCCAGGCCCTGTGGCCCCTGGGCCGCCCCTGTTCTGCCTGCCTCTGCTCAAGGGCTCGCTCCTCCTGAAGCCCCTTCTGGCGTCCTGGGCCCGAGCCCCACGCCCGAGCACCGAGACCACCGAGACGGGACGCCGGGCTTGTGTCTGGCCTGGCTGCTCCCGCGCGCCATCCGCCCGCAGGGGCCGAGGGCACCCCGCCAGTCTGCAGCCCGCGTCCCGCCTGTCTTCAACCAGGTGCAGAAAGTCATGCCCAAGGACACCTTCTACTTCTCCATCCTGCGAAACCCCGTCTCCCAGCTGGAGTCTTCCTTCATCTACTACAAGAACTACGCCCCCGCCTTCCGCCACGTGGAGAGCCTGGACGCCTTCCTGGCCGCACCGCTCGCCTACTACGACGCCAGCGCGGGGCTGGACAACGTCTACGCCAGGAACAACATGTGGTTCGACTTCGGCTTCGATCACAACGCGCCGGCGGAGGAGAGCTACGTGCGCGCGCGCCTGGCCGACGTGGAGCGGCGCTTCCAGCTGCTGCTCATCGCTGAGCACTTCGACGAGTCCATGGTGCTGCTGCGGCACCGGCTGCGCTGGCAGCTGGACGACGTGGTCGCCTTCAGGCTAAACGCGCGCAGCGCGCGCTCCGTCACCAGCCTGGCACCCGAGAGCCGCGAGCGCGCCAAGCGCTGGTGCGCGCTGGACTGGCGCCTGTACCAGCACTTCAACCGCAGCTTCTGGGCGCAGCTGCACGCCGAGCTGGGCCCGAGCCAGCTGCGCAGGGAGGTCGCGCTGCTGCGGGCGCGGCGGCAGGAGCTCGCCGCCCTGTGCCTGGAGGACGTGGCCCCCAAGAACAAGATGCAGATCACCGACCGGAGGCTGCGCCCCTACCAGTCGGGCAAGGCCGACATCCTGGGCTACAACCTCAGGCAGGACCTGGACAGCGCCACGCTGCGCACGTGTCAGCGGATGGTGCTGCCCGAGATCCAGTACATGGCCCACTTGTACTCGCTGCAGTTCCCAAACAAGCCCCCCAAGAACATCCAGTTCCTGGAGGGGTAGAGGGGCTGGCGCCAGGGAGAGGGCCTCCAGCTGACACCAGCCCCTCTCCGCAGCCGTCCCGGAGACCCTGGGCTCCAGCAGGGCCTGCTCTAAAGTGAAGAAGAGAGTGAAGCCCCCAAGAAAGATGCTCACCGGGACTTGGCCTTCTTGAAGAGGGCCCTAAATCCAGGGCGGCAGGCGTGCCTGGTCTGCGGCTGTGCAGCTGTGCATCTGTCCATTGGATGGAAGGTCTCACGAGTAGGAGAGCGAACGGTACTTACCTGTGCCTCAACATTCTGCCCTCAGAGCTCCTGGAGCCCAGGGAATCCCTAGGGCCTTGGGCAGTGGGGCCGTGGGCCCCTGAAGGACCTCAGAGAGCCCCCCCTGAATTTTCAGGCCATAGAGACATGGCACTGGTCACAACAGCCACAGACAGTGCCACAAAGACAAGCCCAGGCTTTGGAGCGTTTGGGAACAGCTCCCCATCTTTGGCTCCTACCGAAGTTCAGATTGAGAGACGGCAGCATTGCTCACAAGACAAGTGGTTTAGCCTGAGCACAGGCTGGGGGTCGGCTCCACAGCTCCCTGCCGGGATGGCCCATGCATGTGCAGTGAGGGAGAAAACATCCAGCTTGCTGAAGGAGCTCAGAGGGGCCCGGTGTGCAACACACCCGTGGTCGGTCGGAGACCACGTTGGATGCAGTACCAGAAGGCAGCTTCTGGGTGCCTCTCCTTGTCGCTCATGGGGAGGGACTGAGTCGCCCTGGCTGGCAGGACGTGACCCCTGGCTGCCTGGCGGCCATCGGTTGGAGTGGGGTGCACGCCAGCCAGCGCCACACACCCTGGAAAAGGCAGGGGGCCTGGAGCGCCTAGGAATTGTAGCTGCTCTCACATCCAGCCGAGAGGCTCAGCCGGGCCCTTCCTGCTGTGCCAGGGCCCTCGGCCTGCGACGCTGGCGGCAGGCTGAGGCTCTCGTGTCTCGGCGTGTCCACACGTTTCAGGAGTCGGCGTTTCAAAGAAGGCCCAGGCCCCAGGTGATCAGAGCTGGCAGCTCCCTTGGACACCTACAAAATGGAGGGAACTTTGAGAAAGGTGGATTTTTGGTGAGATTAGAGGAGTCACTGACTTGAGAGTAAATAAGAATGTTTGAAAACTGGAAAAGGACTCCCCAGAACTGCACAGGGACAGGGAAGAATAGCATGGGCACCCCTGAGGTTAGCGCCAGCGGATCATCTGGGTGGCTGTGGGGGGTAGGGGCCCCAGAAGGAAAAGAAGACACCAGGTAAGAAACTGTCACACAACGAAGGAAACAAGCCCCCACCCCAGCTCGCGGGGGCCAGGGGAACCCAGGGTAAGGAGAAAACACTGCTCTTCCGCACAGAGAACGGGCCGTCTTGGGGGAGAGGGAGAGAGCCGGGCCACGGCCTTCGCAGCCACGATGTGGGTCCCGCCTCAGCTGCACCGTAGTCTAAGAAATGAAGCCTCAGTAGCAATTCACTATTTCTTCTCAGCCTTTGAGGCTGGCAGGGAGGTAGACGGGTACTGTCCTTTTGGAGGGGAACGCGGGGGTCTTTACCACAGTGTGTGAGTGCCTGCTGTTTGCAATAGAGACTTCTGAAAACAACCTGTTCCAGTGGTCCGTTGACAGGGTGTTCAGGCCGCTGCAGCTCTGTGCAGCCAGTGAAAGCTGGGAGCACAGTGGGTGTGGCGGAAACCTCTGGGGAAGGGGCATTTCCGGGCCTTCTCTGTGCCGCTGGGCTCTGCACCGGTCCTGAGCGGCTGTCCAGCCCGCGACTCAGACCTCAGGGTGGGAGGTTCTGGCTTCTTCAGGACAGAAAGGAAAGTTCCTCCTCTGGGGCATTTATACCAAGGGGACAGAGCCTCAGATGTGCCCAGGGATCTCTGAATGGCCGAGCCGTGGGCTGCGGGTGACGGACACACCCTGGTCAGACGGCCTTGCCCTGAGACCTGGCCTCTGCCTTTGGTTGGCCCAGTGAGGGGGCTTCACAAGGGAACTGGGGGCTCCCTTTCCCTGTGAACCTGGGCGCTTAGTAGGCGGCGTTGGTCCCTGTCCGCCAGTCCTGGACTTGGTGGAGGAGGGGAGGGAGGTGGGCCTGCTCCGTTCCGGTTGGGGTGGAGCGTCCGCCACGCAGGGAGGCTGTCCCTTCCCACCCATCTGCCCCTGGGCCAGGACCCGTGGTGTGAGCAGAAGGGGTGCGTGCCGTGCCGTGTCCCAGCCGCCGGGACTCAGTCCTCCCCTCCTGGGGCCTGGCTGTGGCCGTGGTGAGTGGCCCACGTGGCCACGCGGATGAGACAGAGGGAGCCAGAGCCCAGCCCTGCCTCCTTCCCTGTGTTCCACATCCTCCTGCCCTCTTCCGGGTTCCCCAGTAAATCCCCTCAGGCCTCGGGGACCTGATAGGACACAGCAGGTTTAGCTCCTTGGCCTGTAAGTCACAAGATGTCCTGTTTTCCCACTGAAGCCCCAGATGCTGCAGAAGCGGCCAGCCCCGCCCTTCACAGGGGGGAGGGAGGGTCCTCGGGGCCTGGGGAGCCCCCTGGAGGGAGATCCCTCAGAGACCCTCTCACTATAGCACCAAGGGCCTGTGGCCTCCTCTGATACTCTGGGCTGGGCATGGGGTACCACAGCTGCTTCAGAGACAGCAGCCGGGAGCGGCTCACGGGAACGGGGCTGGCAGGACCCCTTGGGGGGTGGCTGTGCTGCATAGGGCTCCACCCTTTGCCCTGGGAGGCACAGGAAGTTGGGGTGGGATGCTGGCCCACCCAGGTCCTGGCCAGGCCTGGGAGCACGGACATGGGCCTGGGGTGTGTCAAGGCCCAAAGGGGCCGGCATCCTGGGGCTGAGGGGCAGCTGGACCCCAGCTGTGGTGTGCCCAGAGCCCAGGTGACCCGCCCTGAGCATCCCAGTGCAGAGGGGCCTGCGCTGGCCTGGGCCGTCTCAACGCTGTCCCGGGCACCCTTCCGCTCCCTGGTCTGGGCTGCAGCTGCGCTGCGCAACTCGGGGAGTGTCAGCGTCCTGACGCAGCCCTGGGGCGCGGCCAGCTCCTGGGCTCGCCACCCACACAGTGGGCTCTTGTCTCCGCGCTGGGACGGGCGAGCCGGCCACCCCTCCAGCAGCTCTGCAGCCTTCCCGAGGAGGCCGGTGAGTCCCACCCCGCTCACCCCTGCAGTGCCCTCACCCTGCACCCCTGGCCCTCGGGCCAGGACCCTGCTCCTGAGGGCATCTGCCCCCCACCCCTCTTTCTCTAGGGGTGATGGGCAAGTCCGACCCCCAGGGCAGCTCCTCTAAAACAAGGGGTGGGCTGCTTAGCCCCCATAGGCCCTGCCAGCCAGAGGCCCCACATGGGTCCCCCAGTGGGACAATTTCCTGGCCCACGTGGTGGGTGTGACACTGAGGGGTCCCGAGGGCAGGTTCGGAGCACAGGACGGATGAGACTGGGTCGGGGGTGCCCCAGGCTGGGAGGCCCGGCCCCAGTCCCCACGGTCTTTCTGCAGATGGGCCCGTCGGTGACACTCCACCAGGCCGAAGGATCTGTGATCCCCAGTCCTTGCCCTGGCCAGGGCGTGGATGCTCGTGGCGCAGACTGGAGAAGCAGTCTGAGGGGTCAGAGCTGCCTGAGGGCCCCCTACAGAATTCTGTGCAAGGGGCTTTGCAGGTTATGTGGGTGCGAGTTGATGCCCCCGGCAGGCTGAGCCTCTGGCAGGTCCCAAGACATGGTGGCCCAGGGGTGTGCGGAGGAAGGACTGGGCTGGCCTCACAGGACAGCCTTCCGGGAGGCCTGTGGCCATCCCTGCCGACCGTGGAACGAGCCCTACAATCTGCCAGGGGTCCAGGTGCCAGAAGACCAGTTTCTCTTGGAGGTCCCCCTTCTCCAGGCCTCCACCTCCCCTCTGTGACTTGGTTCCCCGAGGAGGGCCCTGCCGGGGAGGGTGTGTGGACGCTAGTTAATGCTGGAACACAGACGCCCTGGTCAAGCCACCCCCTGGGACAGGCTGAGTCGGCCGCACTGGGCAGGGCTGGCCGTGCTCCTCCTGGGCTGAGGGGCGCCCCCGGGACGTTGAGGCCCCATGGAAGCCTGGGGCCTGGCCCTGGCAAGGATGCCCAACCATGCGGCAGCCCCATGCCCTCTGCAGGCCTCGGTGTCCCCTCTGGGCAAAGGGGGGGTGACCAGCTAGTCCCTGCAGCGTCCATCTCTCCTGCTCTGTCCCGGGCTGCGGTGGGCCTGAGTCCCCCCTTCCGCAGGGTGTGCTGACGCTGCTCCCGTGGCCCCAGGCTTTGGGGAACGAGCCAAGTGCACAGAGAATGTGTCGCTTGTGCCCGTTCGGCCCAGAGGGACACGTGGCACCCGCACCTGCTTCCCGCTTGGGCAAGTTGCCCTTTGAGCACAGAGCCGGGGCTGCCAGGAGACAGGAAGCTGCTGTCCGGGCCGAGCTGGCAGCGGGGAGGGCCGCGCGGCTGAGAGCTTGTGGGGCTGGTGGCCCTGGGCTGAGGTGGGTGAGGTGGAGGAGTCTGTCCCGGCCCTCGGGGTCCTGGCAGACACGGGCGCGACCTGCTCTTGGATTCCACGAGTGTTCACCCTTAGCCCGTTCTTCGTGCGTGGGGCCCACCTGCCTGGCGAATGTGCGTGGTGCTGTGTGCGGGAGTTTGGTCCTGGCCAGGCGATGTGGGCACCCGCCACCCCTCCCCGCTTGGCGCTCCTGTCTGGTTCCTGTGCGAGGTTGGCCCAGGCCACCGGCCGTGGGCCCCAGTCGCTCAGAGTCCTGCACGATGGGCGCCACCCGCCTCACCTGTGTGCAGCTCCTCCCGGCCACCCCTGCGCTGGGCTGTGCCTCTCACTCACGGCCCTGGTCTGCCTTTGAGCAAATCAGACCAACAGGCCCCCTGGTGGGTCCAGCCTGTGGCGGACAGACCCCAGGTGTGCCCCCAATACGCCCCCCACCGGGCCCTGCCCTTGGGAGCCTCTCTTGGCAGCAAACTCCCAGGGGCGGGTGGCTCCCAGAGAGGCTTCCCCGGCCATGCTCTGGGCACGGGGTCCAGTTGCTCGTGGAAGTGTTTTTCAGTTGCCCCCCATGTGAGGGCTCCACGCACAGGTGGGGTTGGGGTGAGGACACAGGCGTGGGCGTCCTGCAGGCAGCATCTGACCACAAAGTGCCTGTCCCCTGCAGGAGTCCCGGCCTATGGGCGAGGGGAGGCCGGTGACCAGCCGAGTTCAGGAAGCGGCTGCAGGGCGGGCTGTGGACGGCCGGGGAGGGGCCTTCGTGCATCCTGTCGGTCACTGGAATGTCGTCCACCCCCTACCCCACTCCCCTCAGTGCTCACTCAGCCCTGGTCACTGCCTCCAGGAAGCCTGCTTGGTCTCCCCAGCCTTGGCTTCTCGCCCGTGTGTGTGCCCACCCATGCGAGGGGGCGCAGGTGGTGGTGGGGTCTCATCTCCCTCCCTTCGCGGCTCTCACGAGCACCCAGGGTTCCCTGCACAAAGCTGCTTCTCACGTCAACCCCCTCCTGGGTGGTCCCTCTCTGCTGGAGGGGTCAGGGGTGGGACAGGGGCATGGCCTCTCTGGCCTGAGATCCCTCTCGCGGCTGCTCGCAGCACCACCTCCGCCTCGCTCAGGTGCACGGGGGAGCCATTTCCAGCACCTGCAGTCTGGGCTCTGCCGGGCCTCCCCACCCCCACCCCGCTTGGGCAGCCCGAGAGGCCAGCAGCGTGTCCCCTGTTCCCAAAGACGTCCTCTGCGGCCTCGAGTTCAGGCCCCTCCTCTGCAGGAGACCCCCTGGGGCTCCCCTTCTTGTAGGTCCCTATGTGTGTGTGTGTCCGTACGTGTCCCCGCGTGTGTGTGTCTCTGTGGCTTCGGGGGTGTTGCAGCCCCTCCTTTGGGGACGCCGAGCCCGTCCTTGTCTGAAGCACAGCTCCCCGGTTGTCTACTTGTCCAGCGTCCTGCCGGGTGAACTCTGCGATGACCTTGCGTCCTGGGCACATGGGCTGGCAGGGGCCTGGGTGCTCTCTGGCCAGCCTCCCCTGCACCCAGAGCCAGCCAGGCCTGGCCGGGGGTCAGCTCTTCGAGCCGTGCCGAGAGGAGGACGGGCTGATTCCACTGACACTGGGGGAGCTGTGGCTCGGGTGTGCTGGGGAGCAGCTGCCCCAGATCTGGGGTGAGGGAGTACGAGACAGGGCCGTCCCCGAAGTGGGCACAGTGTGGGGCCCAGGTGGGCGCGTCTGCCCCTGCCGAGCCCTCCCCAGTCCAGACACGTGGGCGTGGGGCTGGGGGCTCCCTGGGCCCCGTCCACTGACCCGAGGCCCTGCTCTGAGCAGCAGAGCATGGGGGCCCCTCGTGCCCCGGCGCGGACCGTGCTCTTCCAGCGGGAGAGGACGGGCCTGACCTACCGTGTGCCCGCGCTGCTCCCGGTGCCCCCCGGGCCCACCCTGCTGGCCTTCGTGGAGCAGCGGCTCAGCCCCAGCGACTCCCACGCCCACCGCCTGGCGCTGAGGAGGGGCACGCTGGCCGGGGGCTCCGTGCGGGTGAGTGGCCGGGCGGGGCGGGGGCTGGCGCTGGGGGACGGTGGGTGCCCATGCAGGGACGGGCAAGCTCAAGCCCCACTCTCCTGAGGTGCCCCTGCGGGACTGGGCCTAGGTCCCGGACGTCCTGGCCAGCGGCCCTTCCTCCTCCGGCAGTGGGGCGCGCTGTGCGTGCTGGGGACGGCGGCCCTGGAGGAGCACCGCTCCATGAACCCCTGCCCCGTGCTGGACGCCGGCACCGGCACCGTCTTCCTCTTCTTCATCGCCGTGCTGGGCCACACGCCTGAGGCCGTGCAGATCGCCACGGGCAGGAACGCGGCCCGTCTCTGCTGTGTGAGCAGCCGTGACGCCGGCCTCACTTGGGGCACCGCCCGCGACCTCACCGAGGAGACCATCGGCGGCGCTGTGCAGGGTAGGCGGGCAGGCGGGGGCCCACAGTTCACACGGAATGGGGGGGCTCTCTGGTCGGCCCAGCCCGCCCTGGACCTCTACCCAAATGTGACCGAGCATCCTCCGACGCCCCAGCCCCAGGCGTGTGGTATCGGTCACCCTCCCAGCCGCCTGGTGGGCAGGAGCAGGCTGCCCCCACCGACCTGAGACTTTCTCGGGCTCTTGCAGAGGGAGGGTTTAGTGCTGAGGCCTCTCTCAGTCCCCAACCCTGACAGCCTCCCCTCCCACTTGCTCTTTCTCTCACCTCCTCCTAACCCCGTCCAGGGCCTCGGCCCGAGACTCCTCCTCCACCCCCACTGCCCAGCCCCAGGAGCTGCCCACCCCCACCCTCCGTGGCACGTGGGAGCTACACCGAGGGACGTGGATGGGACACACAGCTTATCCAGAGACCTTGGCCCGCGGGTCCTCACCCTCCCGCCTGCCCTCTGCTCTCTGTCTGGGCAGCTCTCGCGCCGAGTACTGCTGGTGTCCGTCAACCTGGGTTTGGGGCTGGCCGACCACTCACATGTCCAGGGTTGGCCAAGAACCCAGCCACTCGGGCTCCTGGGCGCCGGCTAACGGCAGTGAGAGGCTTGTCCGGCCTGGGAGGACTCAAGTGGCTGGATGAGCCATGTGTGGAGGGTGGTCAGCTAGAGCTGCCCTCGCCTGAGGCCCAGGCCCACCCTTCCCCCACCGTGTGGGCACTGCCTGTGGCACCCTCCCCCTGTGACTAGAGCCCCCACCTCTGCCTCTGCTCTCCGCAGACTGGGCCACGTTCGCCGTGGGCCCGGGCCACGGCATCCAGCTGCCCTCGGGCCGCTTGCTGGTGCCTGCCTACACCTACCGCGTGGACCGCCGGGAGTGCTTTGGCAAGATCTGCCGGACCAGCCCCCACTCCTTCGCCTTCTACAGCGACGACCACGGCCGCACCTGGCACTGCGGGGGCCTCGTGCCCAACCTGCGCTCCGGCGAGTGCCAGCTGGCTGTGGTGGATGGTGGGCGGGCCGGCAGCTTCCTCTACTGCAACGCCCGCAGCCCCCTGGGCAGCCGTGTGCAGGCGCTCAGCACTGATGAGGGCACCTCTTTCCTGCCCGGGGAGCTCGTGCCCCCCCTGGCCGAGACAGCCTGGGGCTGCCAGGGCAGCATTGTGGGCTTCCCAGCCCCACCCCCCAACAGGCCTCTAGGGGAGGGATGGTCGGTGGGTCCCAGGAGCCCCCCCCGCCCTGCATGTCTCTGTCCTGGAGTCCAGGGACCCCCAGCGGAGGGTGCTGGGGACCCCCGTGGAGGCCACGTGCAGCTCCAGGGGCGTGGCCCTGGGCAGCCTGGCCCTGGGCCTGGGGTCGGTGGGGACAAGGAGACCTGTGCCCTGGCCCTCCCCGCTGCCCCTGCCACCCTGCCCCAGAGCCCCACGTGGCTGCTGTACTCCCACCCTGCTGGGCGCAGGGCTCGACTGCACATGGGCATCCGCTTGAGCCGGTCCCCACTGGATCCCCACAGCTGGACAGAGCCGTGGGTGATCTACGAGGGCCCCAGCGGCTACTCTGACCTGGTGGCCGTTGGGCCCAGCCCCGTGGGGGCCCTGGCCTTCGCCTGTCTGTATGAGAGCGGGGCCAGGACCTCCTATGACGAGATCTCCTTCTGCATGTTCTCCCTGCGCGAGGTCCTGGAGAACGTGCCCGCGGGGCCCCAGCTGCCCCACCTTGGGGACAAGCCTCAGTGCCGGCCCTTCTGACGACCCAACGACCAGCTGGGCCCTGGGCTCCCGGGGCGGGGGCAGGGTTGGAGCAGAGCGCACCGGGTCGTGAGGCCGGGAGGCCGCGGGCCCAAGTGGACAGAGCTCCGTGGCCGGCCTTTCTGCCAGCAGCATGGAGGGCGAGTCTGGGGCGGCCCGGCTGGGTTGCAGACCAGCTCCTGCCAGTGCTGTCAGGCAGGTGGCTGCTCTCGGGAAGGGCTCGTGTCGGGGGACCAGACCCGACAGCCTAGGCTACTTCCTGCCTGCCGCCAGGCTCTCCTTAGCGTGCTCACTGGCAAGGAATAAAGGAGCCGCCTGTGTCCAGGCAGATGCTTCTTTGCTGTTCTTTTCACGCGCAAGGCCTGGGGTGGGCGCTGGCGCCTGGGCAACTCCTCAGAATCCCCGCATCTCCCGCTGCTGCCACCGCGAGTGGCCAGCACAGTGACAGGAGGGGAAGTGGCACCCCTGTCCTCTGCCACCTCCGACAACCGAAGTCAGCCTGGGACTCGTGAGTGGGTGCATCTGCCCAGCGCCCGGAGCCGGAGCGGTCCCTCTCTCCCCGCCGAGGCAGAGCTGGACGCCCGGAGGATCACCTTCCTGGACCAGCGGAGTTCCCGCCACTGCCCAGAGGGCCCCGCTGCGCCGGGCGATCCCTGAGGGAGGCCCCTTCACTGTCCGCTTTTAGCCTTCATTTCTGAGCATGAAAACGGTACGTGTACATCGTAGGATGCTGGAAAAGCAGAAAGGTGGGAACGACTTCCGTGGGTGCCCGGTCACCTCGCTGAGCACACACGCGCTGCTGGGGTCGCTGCTGCTGGCGGCTCCGACGAGGCGGCCCTGGCGCCTCTCCTCATTTCTTCCCAAGCCCCCACCGTGCCGCTTCTCCCCGGCTGTGAATTGTGCATGATGAGCTCCCTTGGGGTGTCTCTGGGGTCCAGTCACCTCCCTGGCTTCCAGGACAGCGGGGCCTTCCCAAGGCTGGGGACCCACTGCTGGTCCCCAGGGCGTCCGCGAGGCCTCGAAGCCACCAGGGTTCCCAGGGGAGTAGGCAGGACCCCCCCACTGCTCCCCTGTCCTCTCAGCACTGCCCTGCTGGGAGGGGTCTCTGGGGTGCGGCGGGGGCAGGCCAAAGCCTGGATGTGGGGCCCCTCAGAGCCCCGAGCGTTCGGGCCACCATCCGGGGACCCCTTCCCAGCTGCAGCCGGCCTCAGCCCCTCAGAGGAGAGGCCGCCTGCCAGGGCCCCGGGCCTGTGTCTTACCTCTCGGGCTGCGTGACCTCGCACCACAGGCAGGCGGCTCATGGACACAGAAATGTGTCTCTCGTGCTGCTGGAGGCTGGAAGGCCAAGTCGAGGCCCGAGACCGTGAGGGCAGATTCCGTTCTGGCTTCCAGACCTGCCTTCGCGATGTACCCTCACCTGGTGGGTGGGCGAGGGAGCTCTGGGCCTCCTTCATGAGTGCCCCGAGCCCGTTCGCGAGGCCCCACCTCCTGACACCATCCCCTCGGGGGTTCAGATGTCAGCGTGGGACTCCGGGGGACAGACATCCAGGTCATGGCAGTCTGCTCTTCTGCTTTCAGATCTACACCAAAGAAACCTCTGAGGTTCCTTGTCATTCACTTCTACACTGGGACGAGTGGTGTCCCCAAATTTGTGTCCTCCCAGGACCTCATGCTATGACCTTATTTGGAAATAGAATCTTTGCAGATGTGACCACGGTGACATGAGGTCTTACCGGAGCAGGGTGGTCCCCGGGTCCCCCAGTGACTATGGCTTGTTAGCAGAGGGTCCGGACTCAGCACTGGGGAGAAGGCCGCGGGAGGACAAGGCAGAGGCAGGAAGCGTCCTCCCTGGAGCCTCCTGAGATAGCACGTCCTTGTCACTCCCTGACTGTGGCCTCCAGAGCGGGGAGAGAATTCACTTCTGCCATTTCAGCCCCAGTCTGTGGTGGTGTCCCTGCGGCCCTGGGGCCCTGGAGCGCTCGTTCACCTTCCTCTGTTCAGGTCTCAGAAAAATGAAAAACTTGTTTTGACTAGTCGAACCAGATTCTCACCCCATCCCATTCTGCCTCCTTTTTTTTTTTTTTTTTTGAGATAGTCTCACTCTGTTGCCCGGGCTGTAGTGCCATGGCGTCAGCCTAGCTCACAGCAACCTCACACTCCTGGGCTCAAGTGATCCTCCTGCCTCCCCCTCCCGAATAGCTGGGACTACAGGTGCCACCACCATGCCCGGCTAATTTTTCCTACTTTTTGTAGAGACTGGTCTTCCTCTTGCTCAGGCTGGTCTAAACTCCTGACCTTGAGCGATCCTCCTGCCTCGGCCTCCCACAGTGCTGGGATTACAGGCGTGAGCCACCACGCCCGGCCCCGTTCTGCCTCCTCGAGGTAACAGTATTCTGCATCTCTTCCAAAACTCACACAAATAAATTATAAATGTGAGTATACGTGTCGAATACTTCCCTTTTTCTCAAAGTAAGATTGCTGTGACTACTGCGCAGCTGGCCCTATCGTGTCACACCATGTCGTGGTGCCGTGACCACCCTGTCCCCTCTGGAGGAGGCTGAATCCCAGGCCACCTCCTGATGGCTCGTGGCTGATCCGATGCACCTGGCTCTTCCGGCTTCCTTCAGGGGCTGTTCCCAACGTGTCCCCAGCCGGCAAACCCCATCACAGCCTGTTTCCCAACAACTCCAACATCTCTCAGGACTTGCAGTCCTAACTCTTTCCTCCTCCTCATCTTGCTCTGTTGCCCAGGCTGGAGTGCAGTGGCAGAACTCCTCGGTCGCCATCCTCCCACCTCAGCCTCCCGAGTAACTGCGACTATAGGCGCCACCACTGTGCCCGGCTAATTTTTCAATGTTTTCTAGAGATGGGGTTGCTCAGACTGGTCTCGAACTCCTGGCCTTAAGTGATCCTCCTGCTTCAGCCTCCCAAGATACTAGGATTATGGGTGTGAGCCACTGTGCCCGGCCCTAACTCATTTCTTCTTAATAACTGCACAGTAACTGCTGGTGGGAATATAAAATGGTGCAGCCGCTGTGGACGACAGTCTGGCAGTTCCTCAGGAAGTCGAAGATGGAGTTATCATGTGACCCAGCAATCCCACTCTGGGTCTACACCCCAAAGAACTAAAGCAGGGTCCCAAAGACATCCTCATGCATGACGTTCATGGCGGCATCATCACGACAGCCAAGACGTGGAGGCAGGCCAGGTGTCCACCAGGAGACAGCGGACAAACACAGGTGGTCTCTTCACATGGGAGTGTTGTTCAGTCTTAGGCAGGAAGGACGTTCTGACACGCAACGTGGACGCACCGTGACGGCAGTGTGCTGAGGACGCAGGCCAGTGACAGAGGGAGCAATGCCGTGTGACTCCACTTAGATAAGGCACCTCGAGCGGTCACGTTCGTGGACAGAAGGTGGAATGGTGGTTGCTGGGCTGGGGAGGGTGGGGTCAGTGTTTACTGGGTGCGGAGTTTCGGGTTTTCAGGACGAGCAGAGTTACGGAGACGGATAGTGGTGATGGTTTCACAACATCGAGGATCAACTTAATATCACTGAACTGCACACTTGAAAATGGTTAAGACAGTAAATTTTATGTCGTTTATTTTACCACAATGAAAACATTAGGGAAAGCTGCGTGACACTTGCTACGGTGTAGATGTACCGTGATTCGTTCAGAGTGTCCTCGCTGAGGGGTGCAAAATGGTACTAAACACGCTTTATCACGCGGTTCGGCAGTCTTGTTGGTATTTATCCAAAGGAGTTGAGCGTTTACGTCCACACAGAAACCTGCGCGTGGTGTTGGTAGCAGCTTTACTCGTAACTGCCATGATGTGGGAGCAACTGAGACGTCCTGCGGGAGGTGGGCGGTGAGCAAGCCGCGGTGCGCGCAGACTGTGGAACGCCACTCGGTGCTGAAGAGGAAGGCCAGCGGGCCTGGAAGCACAGGGAAGAAACGGAAATGCCTGCTGCCGCGTGAAGCGTCAGTCTGGAGAGGCCGCGTACCATCTGGCTCCAAGTACGGGAGGTCCTGGAAAAGGCAGAAACGTGGAGACCGTGAAAGATGGTGGCTGCCGGGGCTGGGGGAGGGAGGGAGGAACGGGTGGACCACAGAGGGCTTTCGGGAGTGGCGCTGCTCTGTGTGGCACACAGCGGAGGGTGTGTGTGACCGTACACGTGTCAAACCCACAGATCCTACAGCGCCGGGGCCCTCCTGTAAGCCGCGGGCTCTGGGTGCCAACGATGTGTCAGCGTGGGTTTATCGACGGCAGCAAACGCACCACAGGAACCGAGATGTTAAGAGCAGGGGAAGCCGTGTGTGTGGGGGTGTGGGGGGGTGTCTGGGAATGCTCTACTTTCTGCTTAATTTTTCTGTAAACTCCAAACTGCTTTACAAATAAAGTTTATTATTTAAAAGTATAGCTATTATAAATTATTAAAATTTAATATATTAAAAAAGCATTTTCTTTCTAAAAGTAGGACAAGGTTATACAGTATTTCTATCATCTCGAGGCTGTCCATGTGTTCAGTCTCACGGCCCCCCGGCCGAAGGAGCCCCGCCCCACAGCGTTGGCTGCCCCTCGAGCTCGGGGTCCCTCTCGCTGGTCGCGCAGCTCGCCTGGGCCTGGAGGTGCTGCGACGCGGTTGATTCAGTGTCGACTCGGCGAGGCACCGTGCCCACACGTCTGGTCAGACGCAGTCTCATGTTGCCGTGGAGGTATTTTAAAGATGACATTAACATTTGAGTCGGGAGACTTTGGGTACAGCCGAGGACCCTCCGCAGCGTGGGTGGGTCTCGTCCAGTCCACTGAGGGTCCTGGAGGGAGGCAGCGGCCTGCAGACCGTCTCTGGGCCTGGCTGCAGCTTCCGTTCTTCCTGCGTCTCCGTCTGCTGCCCTCGGCAACCACGGGAGCCAACTCCTCAAAACAATTGTCTCTCTCTCTCATATTCCCACTCTCTCTCCAGACCACATGGGTTCTTTTTCTGGAGGGCCCTAACTAAT